CATGGCCACTAACAGCTAACTAGCCTATCACTAACTTCTGCCCTCTTCGTCTTCAGGCCATCTGCAGACCTCCCTTGCACAAGACGCCCGAGCAGCGCTTCCGCAGAGCTTCCGCAGGAATGWATGAATGGCTGGACGCAGCCTCTTGTTTTATACTTCTGTGCAGCTCCGATTTGGCCTGTATTCCCTGGCCCCGGTACCCTTAGCCCCATATGGTACTTGCTGGACCGGACAGGGACTTTCTAGACACTTCCTCGACTGCACTATGACTCACCTACGACTCACTGCAGTCCTACTGAGGTCCTACCARTTGACTTCRACAGATGTCACAGTCCTACGGCGCAAGTAGACTTAGCTACACCACTTGCCCACTGGTCGACCTTCTAGAAGACCTCTGGACCCTACTTCGATTTTTGCCCTACAGGTCTGTGGTTCGAATCCCTTACTTCTCTGGTGCCTACGATGACCTACCTGCAAGTGGCTATCCTACAGGTCACAGGTTCAAGTCCTACAACTACACAGATATTGTACACAGGTAAGTTGGGGAACTAGGGATCGAGCCCTGGGACCTACATCAGCTACTTCGAATTGGGGAATACCGTTTCAGCAGAGCCTGACTCTTGATTTTCCAGGCGTCAACTGTCGGGCGTGGGGATACTGGACACTCTTTTTGACTTGGGGCTCCGTACCCCTTGGCTCTAAGGACTGTCTCAGACATTTTAAGGCCTCAGAACGCGACTTTTGACCCCTCGTTCTGGCCTTTGACCAAAAGCTACGACCCTGCCTTTGACTCGTGCGGTATGTGAACTGAGTTTATTGCAGGTGCCTCGATTTGACCCTAGACCCCAGGCCTTCCCATCTGAGGTCCTTTCAGGAGCATGTCTAAAGCTCTAGTACCCACTTTCGACCCCATAACTTCGTCTTGGACAAGAGCTACGGCACTAAGACTTCCTGATGCTGATTTTGACCTTGGTTCCTTGCCATTCTTTACTTCTTTCATCTCTCCCCTTACTGTGCCTCTCAGGTACAAGGCTTGTCATGTATGTGTAGATCAGCGTGAGATGCCTACACCCCCGTGTGCCATAATAGCTCGCCTGCACACCATAAGAAAGAGGCCAAGAAAAAGGGAGAAGGGAGACTGATCAACAGAAGACAAAGGGAAGACCAAAGGGGTAGTAGAGCGAGTGAGTGTGGTATAGAGATGACGGCCTAAGGAAGGATAAGTGAAGACTCAGGAGTCAGTCTGTCCTTGAGGACAGAGGAGACACACATGGTAGGGATAGCGTATGACCTTTTCTCAATGAGGGTAGATGTGACATACTCTTGAGGAAATAAGAAGGAATAGGAGAGCTTGTATTGACCATCAGCCAGAGAATTGCACAGAGGGTGTACACATGATTAAGAACGCGATTTGTCAAAAATCCAAAATAGCAGTTATATCATTAAGAAAGGGTGAGGGGGATACCTTTACACTGCAACACATTTTCACAAAAAACACGGCAAAACTCTGCCAAAGCCAGAGGGTAAAGAAAAAAAGATAGCACAAAGTTCCTGCTTTGGCTCTTTGTTCATGAATTGTTGTTAGATTTTTATCCCCCATCCTCAACACAAACATAGCAACCAGATTGTAGGAAAGAACTACAGAGAAGGAAAGAAGGCACATGCCGTGGAACCACAGTCTGCATCGCCGACTTCATCCCACTTGTTGAAATCCTGCTGCATGTCTATTAGCACATTTGCTGCAGCAGTGATAGCTGCTTCCATAACTGTCCCAAGCTTGGTGAGCTCCTGAGGACGAGAAACTGACTGCAGACATAATCAAGAAGCCAAGAAGAGGATGCATAAGCAATTGCACAGCAACCAATTGCAGGCCTCCAGTGCAGCATTCAGAAAACAACCTGCTTTAAGGTGCTTCAATGATCAATTAGCCTTTGACACTCAGAGCACAACATCTCTACCTAAGAGGTAGTTAAAAGTGGTTTGGGTTCGGTGGACTAGTTAAGTCCACCAATATCGCACAGCCAACTCCTCCATCACAAAAAACAAAAAGCAACAGCACCACAGATAACAGCAATGAAAAGAAAGACGAAGTAGGACAAACAGCCAAGGATGCAGAATCAATCAATGGAAGCCGATACACAACAAGATAGTACTATCACGACAGACTGGCAAACCAAAGGACTCAAAATCATCAGCTGGAATGTCATTGGGTTGGGTAACGTACTGACGGAGAAAGATAAATCAAGGGACATCTGGCTAGGTCTCTACGAAAGGAACAGACCCAGACCAGACGTGGTTCTACTTCAAGAAACGCACCTTTCTGATCTCCCAAACCACGGGAACATAAAAAGGGCAATAGAAAAAAGCCCGGGGGGGTTGCTTTCGCACTATGGTTCAACCTAGAAGGGCTTAGCAAACGGGGGACAGCCATACTCGTACCTAACGCTTCCAAACTGTGGTCAGAAGGTCAGATTCTCAGCAGCGCAGGGCACAACGCAGAAGGTAGATGATCATGGCTAGACGTCAGATGGCAAGACGAGGAACTACGAATTCTTAACATTTACGCCCCCAACTCTGAGAATGAACGCTCAGCCTTCTTCAACAGCATCCAGTCCCTCATCCTGAACCCTCAACCGGTGATTATCGCAGGTGACTGGAACACGACCTCGGATCCAAATGTAGACCGAATCTCTCGCTCCCAACTGATAGGCCCAACAAGAGCAGGAACCCACATAAGAAATATCATGAAAGAGTTCGACCTCATCGATCCATTCAGAATGCTGCACCCAGAGAAAAAGGCATTCTCACTGGTTAAAAAGAACCAGGCCAACCGGACATCGCTGTCCCGGATCGACTTCTTAATCTCCAAGCACCTCCAAGGAACAATCAAACAGGCTGAGATCCGCCCACCAGCGGCCTTCCGGGGTTTGGACCACAAACCGGTAGAACTGCTCCTGAACTTTGGCTCCCCCACGGAAAAAGGTCGGGGATTCTACAGAATCAACAACTCCCTTTTAGCCACAGTAACACTGACAGAGGCAGTCGGATGGAACTTGTTCTTCTTGAGACAGAACAGTGCCAGGCGGGACAACAGATATCAGTGGTTCACCGACAGTTACACAGACCTTACCCAAACAGTCTCAGCGGAATCCAGAAGCATTGCAGGAGAACGAAAAATCAGAAAAGAAGAGCTCCAACTCCCCATATCTCTCACAGAGGACAACCTCGTCGCAGACCCCTCGAACACTTTCTACAGCCAAATACTCGACTCAGCAAGAGAAGAACTCAACGATTGGACGAGATGGGAACTGAGAGGCCTGCAGATTAGAGCCAGGATGACCGACCATACCCTTAAAGAATCCATGACACAGCACTTCTTCGCAGAAATCAAAGCTAATGCCAGAAACAACAACATTGAAGGGTTGAAGGACCCGGACAATGAGAACAGGGTCAACCAATCAGGTTCGGGAATGGTGAAAATAGCCAGATCTTTCTACACACAACTCTACGAATCCAAAACACCCTTCCCCCTCCCCCCAGCCAACTCAACAACACGGCAGCGAATGATGGCCTACCTGGAGAAGACAATCACACCAGAACAGACCAAGGGGTTGGACATACCACTCTCGTTGGGGGAACTACACACAGCCCTGACTCAAATGGGTAATGACAAAGCCCCGGGCATTGATGGACTATCGAAAGAATTATGGATCCACTTCTGGCCCACACTAGGCGAGGATCTTCTCAATTTCTTCAATGACAGCAAAGACCGAGGAGGACTGGGCCAGAATCTAAGCACAAGTGTCGTATCGTTACTTCACAAGAAAGGAGAGAAAGAGGATTATAAAAACTACAGACCCATCCCTACAAAATCCTAGCGAAAGCACTAGCCAATAAGATCATAAATATGACAGACAAATGCTTTCACATTGACCAAGCTGGTTTCATCCCAGGCCGATACATACTCGACAATGTGATGACTCTAAACAACGCGGCCAAAAAGATTATCGAAAAAAGGATGAAAGCAGCGATCCTGTTTTTTGACTTCGAAAAGGCCTACGACCAAGTCAACTGGGATTTCCTTCACGCTTGCATGGAAAAAATGGGAGTCGGCCCGAATTTTAGGAAGTGGGTCAAAGTGTTGTACTGACGAGTGCAGGTCAATAGGATCCTTTCGGAAACCTACCCCATCTCCAGGTCCATGCGACAAGGAGACCCCCTAGCTCCACCCATTTTCCTCTTCATCATGGAAGCCATAGCATCCTTCCTCCGCAAAGACCCGTCCATAGACCGACTCACCAAACGGAACTTCAACCCACTACACGACTTCGCCCTACCCACTGCTCTGATGTTCGCAGACCACCTCACAACCCTTATCCGTGCCAACAATAGTTCCTTCCAAGCTCTCGCCAAGGCTATGGAGGCTTTCCGTCTAGCATCTGAAATGAAGGTCAACTGGAGCAAAACCGAAGGATGGTGGCTACCAGACAAGACGCCCCCCCAACTCGAGGGCACAACCACACACATGTCGTGGTCCACAGGTGAACAGGCACTCAGATACCTAGGTATCATGGTCAACAAGATGGCGTGTGGCCAGGAATGGGCCACAACTTAATTGCCAAAGCAATAACTTGCATGGCCCCGTGCAAAAACGCACAGGCATCGCTGATTGGGACGTCACTAATAATAAACACGACTATCTTTTCCACATTATGGTACATTGCATCCATCTGGTCTCCCCCGGACGTCGAGTTCCAAATCATAAAGGCCAGAGCAAGATGCTACCTATGGACAGTGGATCCGAACCGAACCTCATGCGTCAACACGATTCAACAGGGTAGCATGGAGTCGCAACATTAAGAAACCGCAGGAGGGAGGCCTAGGTCTGATTGACCCCAAACAGGAATCAACAGCACTCCAAATGAAATGGATATTCAAGATCCTGACCAGACAATACCTACCATGGACCAAGATGGCTCTAGATAGCATAAGAAACCTAGCACCGATAAGCTCCCCGCCAAACATGAGCGGCTACTTCTGGATTATGGCAAAGGAGTGGGCGATAAGATCAGACAGATCCCGCAGAAGAACCGCACGAAACTCAGACAACCAGGCAGCCCCAACACCCAACCTGTACTGAACCCCGACTTTGAAAGCCTGGCGACGAATGAGGCAAAAAAACATGGCACAAAAGATAACAAAGAGGAGGTCCCGAGACAATGTTTTGTAACGATTAGATCAAGGACCCCCAGGGTACTCCCTGGGCACGAAGAATGAAGGATCGAAGATGGCTGTCCTGGGTCAAAAAAGGCGTGTGGCAGGTAAAACACCTGTGGGCAGAAGAACGGGGAGAATGTCGAACGGAACAAGAACTCCGGTCCACTCTAAAAGACTGTCATTCTCTAGCAGACAACCTTATTCTAATTCAGAAGAGCATCCAACCCCATTGGCTTCGCCTCTTGAAAGGAGACTTCTCCTGGAAACTAGGGGACTGGGGTACACTCATATCCCAAACTTTGCCCAGCAGAGCAAACCGGTTTGTATCCCGCACCTCGGCCACCGGCTACCCGTCCAAATTTTACTCCTATCCTATCGCCAATCACAACCTTCAGGAACTAGCCATCCTCAACAGAGATCCGCAGCTAGAGACGATAGTCCTTCCGGCTGAGAAAAGTGAGGGTATAGAAAACCAAACCGTGGATAATCTTTCAGCCTAACCACAACATAGCAGAGCCCGAATTCGATCCAAAGGAGTGGATATGGGAACAAGGCAAATCCGAAACAACAAGAACAGTAATGGAATCCGACGTAAAATTTGGGCACAACCTAAGCCTACAGACCACAGACCCGAACCCCAAACTCAAAGACAAATGGAGAGAGACTCTGAACTTAGAGCCGACAACCTCAATATCCATCCCCTGGCCAAAATGCCTCCCTATCAGACCAGCTAGAATTCGCAGCTTACAGTGGCTCCTAGCCCATACAGCACTCCCTGTCAACCAGTGGCTCCACAAAAGAAGAAAACACTCGGACCCCGACAGCTCAGAACTATGCGAACTGTGCTGAGAGAATATCCCTGAATACATCCACCGCTCTCCTCTACTGCAGTCAGGCCGCCTGGATATGGAACAAAGTCCGAAATCGATGGTCCCTTCTCTTCTCATCCCCTCACCCCAACCTCACCCCCCTGAACATTCTACTTCTATCCAACATCCCCGACAGTCTCAGAGGTGGAAAAGCGGTCTGGTTCCACATGCTCAGGAAACTAGCCCTGTGGGTCATATGGAAAAGGAGTACCAAGACAATCGAGGGTTTAGAAGTGGCCAAGGAGGAAATGTGGATCCTCCTGCTGAGGATGGTGGAAACAGAGATATGATGCAAATGGAGGAGTGTATCGACAGCAACGAGAGGCAAACCTGAAAGACTCACACTCAGGAGACGAACCTTCATGAGAGACTGGTTGCTACAGGGAAAGATCGAGACAGTCTCAGACAATAAATTATACTGGAAGAAATGGGCCACTCCAACAATGACAAGGAATGTAGCCCCGAGAGGGACAAATTGAGGTTCTAGCCTCAGATTGACAGACATCTCTCCCAGTTTCTTGCACTTCAATACCTATTCGATAGAACCAACAGGGTTTCTGAGAGGAAAACTAGGGCAGGGCAAGCTGACAGTCAATCCTCCCATACAGGAGTAATCAATGCTGGTCAGGGTTCCTTCGGCCAGACGGAAGGAAGCGTGAGTGTGTAACATGATGTATTCAATTTTGACTTGCCGGGGAAATCGGAGCCGGAGTGACGTTC